TTTTGAGAGAAAGACCACATTCACATAACTTTTATTATAGTATATTGTCATAACTGTTCTATTTTATTAGTTATTGTTGTTAATCTCTTACTATGCCTAATTTATATGCTAAACTTTATCATGGATATATATGTATAGGAAAAAATGTGATATGAGGTGTGATCAAACAATACAGTTAATGTTTAATAAAAAAATTATTACTGTAAAAGACACATTGACATTAATCTCCCTCAAAATACTCCCCCTTGCTTTGAACACATTTATCCCATTATTGCCACTTTCTGAAGCAGTTTTAGAAGTCCTCTTTTGTGAGTGTCTTTAGTTGCATCATTGTGGCTGCCTCAATATCCTGAATCGATTCAAAACATTTACCTTTCAGGGTCATTTTCTCTTTGGGGAAGAGCCAGAAGTCGCAGTGCCAGATCCGGTGAATAAGGTGGATGAGGACACACCATAATTTTTTTATTTGATAGGCCTTGCAATACCATAAACGATGTGTGATTGGAGCATTGTCATGATGGAAGATGATTGATGGCACACTTTAAAACAAAGCTTCTCTCAACCGTAGCTCACACCCAACTAACTGCACCAAACAAGTTGAAACTTGTCACACACTGCTACTGAGGTTAGACATGCTACTTCCTGTATTGAAGATCCCTGCCTTTCCATCGGATGGCACCCAGCATCAGCATTCACTGTATTTTCTGATCACAAAGGTTCCGTGTCACACATCGCTTCTGGTACAATTTCTGTCAAATAAAAATATCACAGTGTGTCCTCATCCACCTTCTTCACCGGATCTGGCACCATGCAGCTTCTGGCTCTTCCCCAAAGTCAAAATGACTGTGAAAGGTCAACGTTTGAATCGATTCAGGATATCAAGGCAGCCACGACAGCGCAACTAAAGACACTCACAAAAGAGGACTTCCAGAACTGCTTCAGAAAGTGACAAAAATGATGGGATGAGTGTGTTCGAAGCAAGGGGGAGTATTTTGAGGGGGATTAATGGCAATGTGTCTTTTACTATAATAAATCTTTTTTTTTTAATTTAACCATATTATTTGATCACACCTCGTGTATATATAGGGTATGTATGTATATATAGGGTATATGTATGTATATTTAGTACTATCTGCTGTTTCAAGCATCCACTGGGGCCTTGGAACATACTCCCCGCAGATAAGGGACAACTCTGTATGTATGTACTGCCTCGAGTATAGAACTTTTGTAGCTCTTATGTAAATTTGTAACTAAGCAGTATCTTTCAATTCAGATATTTAATGGAACTACCATTTTACACTAGCTTTGGTTTTACATTTGTCATATTTATCTACTACTTATTCTCAACAGCTTGTACTGCTGGGCATCACCCAGCCACTGTGGCCTGTGTGATAGCAGACATGACACTGCATTGATGCTCAGAGAGCCTAGAAATGGTGCTGCCTCTGAGCAACTTCCACTGAAGTGAGAAACTTTTCTAATGGTGAACATATTTATTTCATAAGGACCCTGAGAAAAAGATAAGGTGTGATGAGAGCAGTTTAAAAGACACCCCTGCTATTTGGGGAGGGAGGGGCCTCTCCTCTGTGTACCTCAGAGCTTCCCACCTCTGAGGGGCTACAGAAGCTCCCTCTACTCCCAAGGAGTGTTCTGCTTCCTCTAGAAAGCTGGACAGACATGATTCCCAGGGGCCCATTAATGTGGCTAAAGCTGGCTGACAGCCTGGACTTGGAAAAGACTCCCCAAACATGAAGCGAGTGCACACATGGTCCTGGTATCTGGCTTATCTTTGGAAAGCCATCTGCTCTTCCCCGGGGCCCAGGCCCCGTGTTCTGAACAGCACCTTTCCCTCCCCTTCCTGCAGAGTGGAAAGACTTCTGTGTAACCTGAATCTGAGGACCAGTTCTAGTATCAGACCTCATGGGTTCAAATCATAGCTGTAAATCCTTGATCCCTCTCTGACCTCAATTGCCTTGTCAATTAAACAAGGATAATAATGGTACCTGTCTTGTAGGGTTGTTATGAATATTAAAATACAGGTAAAATGCTTGGCATCATTCCAGGTAAGCCCTTAATAAATGGTAGCTGTGGGTCCTTCAGTCCCCATCCTCCCCTGCTCTGCCCCTGGCCCTCCAGCAGTCAGCCATGCTTTCCCGGAGCACACAAAGCCACCACCCCATGCAGCCGTCTGGTGGCGCAGTCTCCTCAGCCATCCTGAAGGCCTGGCTGCTGTTCCGCTTCCTCTCTTCATTGACTCTGCCTTCAGTTTCCATCCCCCATCAAAACTGTATCCTGGGGGAGGTCACAGTGGGCTGTGCAATGCAGTGCTTTGCCTCCCTCCCAGTGTCCTTTTAGCGTTGTTGGTCACGGCCAGGCTGGCCTTCTGTCCTCGGTGACATTCTCTGTTTGCATGTCCCCTACCTCCTTCTGTCTGCTTCTCGTCTTCCTCCTCTAGGGTTGGCACTCCTCGGGGTGCAGACCCAGACCTCTTCTCCCCACTCGGGCCTCTCTCCCTGAGAGTTCTCATCCATTCCATGCCCCTGACAGCTCCCTAATGTGTGTCTTCAGTCCCGACCTCTCCCCAGAACATCCAACTTGGATATTCAAGGACCTGTTTCATATCTCTGTTGGCTTGTGCCTCAGATATGCTGAATTTACACACCCCAGACTGAGCTCTTAGTTAATCCTTGACAGATGTTATCTTCCCTTCTTTCCGAGTAAGTTCTATGTCCATCCATCTGATTGCTCAAGAAACCTGGGCTAGCCTTGATCCCTACCTCAGCTGCACCACCTGTCATCATGTTCTTTGCCAGGGTACTTTGATATTACTGCTGACACACGTTGCAGGCATTCTTCACTCTGTCTCCACTGCCACCCAGGTCCCAGCTGGTACCAGCTTCCCCAGACTCTCGGTCTCCCTGCACCCATTCCCCTCCCTGCACTCAGAGTGAGCTTTGGAATGTTAAGTTGCATGCCAGCACTCCTCTGTTTGAAATCCTTGGGCCAGAATAATCACAGAATAAAATCCCAAATGCTTACTTTGGCCTATGGTACTGCACAGCCTCATTATAAGTCACCTCACCTTTGCTCCCCGGGGCTTCTTTCCTTCTGACCATGCGCTTCCCTACCTCAGGGTCATCACGGCTGCTGTTCCCTCTTCTAGAATGCCCTTCCCACTACTCTTCACCTAGCTAACCCCTGACCACCTTATCTAAGTCAGGCCCCACCTGTCCTTCTCTTTACCTTATCCTGTCTTGCCCTTCATTGCCTTTATCACAGCTTGGGGTGTGTGTGTGTGTGTGTGTGTGTGTGTGTGTGTACACGTGTACGCATACGTGTACTCGCATACCTCCCGCTGGGCCCTGAACTGCTGAGGGTACAGACTCGGTCTATTTTGTTTTTAATTGTTTGGGCTGCACCTGGCACACTGAGTTCCACACAGGAAGTGCTCGGCCATCTTCTTAGAATGAGTGACCACCAGCTCCTTGCCGTCCAGTATAATAGCGGAGGTGGCACGGGAATGGCAGCCCAAAGCACTGATGCCACAATAGAGGACATGCATAGTGTGGCCCCAAAATGTGCCAGGTGATGCGGGCTTGGGGGCACAGTGGCAGCTCTTCTTTGCCAGGCATAGGGAGGCGGGGGAAAGGGGTCCTGTAAGGCTTCCCAAAGAAGTTGAAGCTCAAGGTGAGGATGTGAGATCAGAAAGAGGGTCGGAGGAGGCATCCCTTCCTCGCTGTCTCCTGCCCTTCTGCCTGCTCCTGTGACAGACCCCACAACACTGGAGCTGCTTCTAGTCTTGCCCCACAGTAAATCCAGGACATGATCTACAGGAGGTATGCTGAGGGAGAAAAGAAACCACTAGAAATTGTTACCCTGTGTGTCCTGTCTATTCGTTTCCTGCCCTGTACCCAGTCCCTGGATTTCATGCCAGCTCCTGCAGAGAAAAGGCCCAGCAGTGATGGTGAAGGGAAAGACATTGATGGGGGTGGTGGGTAACAGGGAACCTTTGTGCCCCAGCTTTTGTTTTCCTTATTAAAAGCAGTAAGCATCTTTGACAGAACCTGGAAAGCACTCTGTTGTCTGTGATGCCACAGTGAAAGGGCAGGAGACTTCATAAGTCAGGGCTAAAAGAAGAAAGACCGCCCCAGCAGGCCAGAATGGGCCCAGTGGCTTAGAGGTAGGCACATGTCCCTCTCATGCTCCGCCCGGAGGGGGAAGTGGAGCTCCTGATGCGCTGACCTGACAGAAAAGGAACTTCCAGACACACTTTCCTGCAGAAACTGAGCTACACAAAGTGGTTGTGGTCTGTAGAGTATCATGTTATGGATCAGCTGTGGGTCAAATAGGTCATAACCACCATATGTGAAATTGTTGCTGAAGAAAAATACCTTTTAACTTTCAAGAAACAGATGTACAAATACAGTTATTGAATATTTACTAGGTGTCAAGCACTGTTCTCATTACTGTACGTGTGTTATTACTGCCTTTGATCATTTTGACAACACTATGGGGGAGATAGGCCCATTTTATAGATAACTCAACTGAGATTTAAAGGTTAAGTACTTTTCCCAAGGTCACATAGTAGTAGGTGGTAGCTCTGAGATGCAAACCCAAGTCTGATTCCACACTTGAAACCATCATGATGCACTTTCAAACATAGCTATTTCTTAAATTAGGGACTGCATTTACCTAGACATCTCAAGGCCTTTTTCTCACTCTCTGTCTTCCATCACTGTGTTTTTGTTTACCCTATTTGAAAGCATTTTTTTCTTTGAGCATTTCTCTAATTTCTTGAGTTGAAGTGGAAGCATGTTCACATTAGTTTGCAAATAGTTACTTGGTAAGTATTCATTGATACTCTTAAATATTAACTACTGCTATGACCACGAGGAAAAGACGATTCACAAATTTGTTTTTTTGTGTGTTTTGAACTCTCTTAATCTTATTTTTCCAGTAACCCATTTCTACTGAAAATTTTGTTTATTTCTTACTGAAAGGAAGAAGATTTCTCTCTCCAAGTCGGCTGTTATCTGCCTCTGGCTTCGACATCTTCCCAGCCTTGAAAAAGCAATGCTGCATCTTTTTGAAAAGCTAATATCCAGTGAAAGAAATTTTATGAGAAGCATCGAATGCTTTATGAAAGATTCATTGCTGGTACGTGTTGGACTTTGATGAGAAAAATCCTTAAAGAAGATGCTGGGTATCATTTTCATTAGGCATAGCAAGGGGGGAAATGTAAACAAAAGAGCAATTGACACCTTTTAAAATAATGATGTATTTACATTTTATTTTACAAATACCTACTGTAGGGGGCTTTTCTGCATACTGAGGGCATATATCAATAATTGGAGGGCCGGCCGAGTGGCTCCATTGGTTAAGAGTTTGCTCAAGTGTTTGAGCTCTGAGCAACAGCAGTTCGATGCCCAGCCTGAGCTGAGCAGCCGCTGAGCTGCCAACAGGTGGCAGGATGGCTCAGCTTAAAAATAAATAAATAAAATAATTGGTAGAGATTCAAGATTTGTTTGATTGTTGCACCTTATATTGCATATTCATAAGAGCTAACGTTTGGACAACAAACTTTTGAAACAGTATTTCTTATTTCCACATGAAAAATAAGTAAAAATGAAGATCTTATGAACAAGAGGAGGAATCAATTCAAAAATAAATTTTTAGCTCTTCACTAGAGGAAAAATAAGATACTCAAGAGACACAAAAGCAAACCTCAGGAAAATGGTTAAAACAACAGAAACAATTTAAGAATTCTGTATGTTTTCTTTTGCCCTAAGCCTGCTGCCTCGAACCCTAGCTCCATGCAGCGGCTTCCTGTCTCCCTGGTTCTCAGGGCTTCTCAGGCCTGGGGAGTCAGGGGCTCAGGGCAGGCTCCCAGGCCGTCCTCAGAGCCTGACCCTTCCCGGTGTTTTCCTTCTGTAGGAGGCTGCTCCGGAATTTAAGGACATTTCTGTAAGAACAGGAATAAAGACGATGCTCCCTGAAGAAACAATGCAGAAACTACAAGGAGGTGCCCTGGTCCCGAGGCATCCGTTTCGCAGGAACCTCAGTGGTCCAACATGCTTTCTCATTAGCTCTGGTAACCAGGGGAGATAGAGCACAGAGATTTTCTTCCTGTCACAGATGGAGAAAATTAGCACAGAGAGCGATGGGCAATAGTCAGATCTGAAGTTGGAGGGAGTGTTCGCTCTCTCCACGAAGCTGACATGGGAGGTGTGAGCTCTGAGCTCTGCATGGAGAGCCCTGAGGTAGCTGAGTTTACATGCCCCCCCACACCCCACACATACTTTCTATTTGTTTAATTCAGCTGGAACTTCTTGTTTTCTTTCTTTCTTTTTCAAATTGGAGGCTGTATAAAGGGATCATAGTAGATTCAGTTGCCTTCTTGCTGTATCCCGCTTCTTGTCCTAGGGCCTGATGGGTCCCCGCCAGCCCATGCATGTGAGTGTCCACGGCCATTCTTGCAGCCCTTGTGCCCTGGGCTACTCTGCCTTCCCGTCGTGGTTGTCCCAGTGGGTGGGGCATAGTGTTACAGTCACCAGCAGGCTTGCTGCTTTCACCTGTCAAGTTAGGTGGCTCAAACTGAACTGATTTGGAAATTTACAGTGTTTGATAGAACAAAAAAAAAAGGAGGGAAGGAAAAGAGATAGGTTTAAAGTCTAAGAGAGCCCGAAGAGAGGTTTTTTTTGGAAAATTACCACTTGACCTCACCATTCAAAAGAGTTGCACATTAAAGTGAGAATAAGAATGTTCCTCCTGGGCTGCCGTGAGTTGCCACCGGCATAGGCTGCAGCCCCTGCTGCATGGGCTGCCATAAGCTACCTGTGTGGCCGGCAGCCAGCGTGAGTGGCAGGCAGCTGGTGTGAGCTGCCAAGAGCCGCTGTGAGCTGCCGTCCAGAGGCTGGCGACCAATCTGCCTCACCGGGAAGAGCGCAGTGATAATACCAACATGGGCCAGTGAAGCGACGTCCTCCACAACTAGACTGAAGAACAAAAGGACAGTAACTTGTCTGTTCCCCTTCACCCAATTCCCCAGAGCTGTTCCCCTCCAATTCCCCAATAAAATCTTAAAAAAAAAAAGTTCCTCATACAAAAATAGTTACAATAAAATTCCAAATAAACAAAGGCTTTTAGAAGCCCCCTGGCATCCCATTTCAAGCATTACCTTTATTATCAGAGAACTCTCTGTATTTCTAACTTAAATGAACATGCAATAATTTAATTTTCTCTGATCCTTTTTCAGTGGCAAAATACACTAACTGAGCTACAGCCTTGCTTCCAAGGCCTTTATTCAACTTTCTTTGTTTCTCTCGATAGAAAAACTCGTTTCATTGGCTTTTCTGATTTGGTTTGATTCTGCAGCCTTTCTTTGGCCCTAGTGGCTCTTCTCTGAACCCTCTCTGTGTCCTTTTTACCTGTGGACGTCGTCAGGCTGAGCAACATTGCCGTAAGCACAGGATATCACTGCCAATGAGGGAGAGAGAAGGCAGGCACTCCATTAAACATCGTATTGGATAACCTTCAGCCTCCAGTTCATAGTTTAAAATAATCTTCCCCAGTCAAACAGCTTTGGAGTCAGTTGATATACAAAAGCATTTATCAGGGTCATGTGTATAGAGATTCAAGCTTCCATTATGGTTAAAGGGGGACTCCAGAGGGTGTTATTTGGTTTAATTTATTGTGGCATTGACAGGATGTGACCTCTGTGTGCCTTATGGTTCAAGGAGGTAATTACAGCACAGACCTGGAAGTTCCTGACTGGTGTGGACTGCTCTCCTCCGGCGTCCTGGGCCTGCAGTGCCAGAAAACCAGGCAGGCGGGGATAAGCCTGTGACGTGACTGAGTGATTAGAAGGGTAACCTGAAGAACGGGCTTCCTAATTGCATAATCTGATTCATTTATCGCAACCCTGTATCTTGGTGCAGTGACAGGGCCGTGCAGAAGTATCAGCGAGATCTTGGCAATTCAGATAGCATGGGGCTGCCGTGCTTTCCCCCAGAGGAAACTCGATGCCTATTACGTTAGCGTTGGATTCTGAGAGTAATTAAAGTGTGATGGTCTACGTAACTTGTATTTTATATGGAGCACTGTTAATTATGTTTCCTTCTCTGGGGACTGTCCAGAATTAGCCATGGAAATTCTATAGTTACCAAGATGTTGCAAAAACAAAAGATAAAAGTGTGGTACAGGTTATACAAAGTGAAATGATCTCTCCAAATGTTCTTTGGCCTCTCAGGGACTCAGAGGCCCAGTATTTTCCATTGAGACTATGAACAATAAGGCACTAATCTAATAGCACCTGAATTCTAAATGCATAGATATACGAAGTTTACTTTGGAGACTCACCCTTAGGCTTCCATGGGCTGGACCACCCCCAAGTACATGGTCACCTGCCACATTTGGTGTCTCCCAAGTAAATCACAGTATTAACCTCAGTTTGTCGTTTATCATGCAGACTGACACTTGTCAGAAGCAGGTGGTCTTATGTGTCCCGTGATGGAACAGGCACTGAAAGACCATAATCCATAGCTTTGGACCTGATCTTAGAAACTGATGTCACCAAAAGCAGTGGAAGCCACTTGCTAATTAGCAGCTTTCTTGACTGTTTGGATTCCCCAGGCTGGCCCAGAATCAGCATGTTATGATTTCCGGATACAAGTCTGTTTATGGAGCCCAGGAAGCTATTGTTCGTACCCCATTTGGATGAAAGGTGCTGGGTGGGTGGCAGGGTGGCCCTGTGCTGGCTGCCCTGCCGCACTCAAAGCCGAGCGGTAGCCTGGTTCCCATGTGCTCCCCGCCTGCCGCCTGCTCCTTGGGCTGGGTCCAGAGCGGTAGCTCCTTCACCTTCACAAGCTTGCCCAAGAGAGCAGGTGGCAAAGGAGGGTGGCGAAGCACAGGGAGGCAGGGTTGGTTTTTGTTTATTCATACTTGAAATAAAAAAAAAAATCTTCTCTCCTACCTGAAAGTCTCCATAGTGCAATTAAAATTAGTTCTTTATCTTGTCAAGTATGTCTCGATAAAACTGGGGGGGGGGGAATGAGTTCTTGATCTAACAAGAGATAAAGAATAAAAAAACGTGCAGGTACCTCCGTGTCCACCTTGTCATCCCTGATATGATAGGAGGTGTTCTTGTCTTCATTCCCCAGAGAGCAATTGTAACCACTTCAAAAAGGCAAAGAAACTTTTACAAAAAATTCCAAACACAGTTCTCCTTTAATAAAAGATACTGAAGAATTACCTCCACATCCTGGGTGATGTCGGTTTTCTGTGGTTGAGTAACTTTTTACTAGTGTTCTAGGGTTTTCTTTTTCTGCTTTTTCACTACCAATCTTTTCAGCATGCCTTTTTGGAGTTCTCTAATACGATGCATGTACTTTAACCAGAGCTGAAGTGGATAATTCAGCAGTGGTAGAATAGGGAAGTACATGGCAGCTTCTGCTTGTGGCTGAAAGGTAAAGAACCTGCGTCTCAGACAGTAGCTGCACTTCCCAGCGCCGACCTCAGGGGGGCACCAGATCACCCAGCATTGTCCCTGTAAAATGAAAGGCCTAGGTTGCAAGTTCTGTTTTCACTGTTGGGGATGCAGGACTTTGTAACCAGTCAGAGATGAAGGGAGAGAGAAAACGTTTAAAAATAAATAATACAAACAGGGCAGTGGTCGACCTGGGAGGCTGAGCTGAGAAGCAGGGGGCTGAGGAGCTAGCTGTCTTCCTGCTCAGGCTGCACAAGCTGATGGGATGGAGGCCACTGGGCCAAGCTAGTAAGAGGAACTTCAGATTAGGGGGTTTTGTTCAGCACCCTGAACTGGCATCCCTGTGTCTTAGTGCTCTGAGAGAGCGCGGGTAATTTAAAACACAAAAGTACATTTGGTACTTGTTAAGTTTTTTCTTTTTTTTTAAGTCTAGAAATGACAGATTTATCACTAATTAAACAATAATTGAATTATGGAGTACTGAAAAAGTTGCTTGTAGTATAAACAACATCTGGTAAAGATTAAAAAGAAAGAATATTTTTCCATCTCAAATTTGTTGAAAGAAACTTGAATGTTTTGGAACAAAATAGATCCTAAAATGTAAAAGAGATATTTATAGTCTTACATTTAGTATTTTGAAAGTAGAAAAGAAGAAAATGGCAAATAAAAAATACATATTTATAAAGGTATCTTATTTACATGATAGATGTGAAGGTTTTATTTAAGTAGATTTTTTTTAAAGCCAAATTGTTTTTGAGTTCAATAAAGGGGTTTACTGTTGAAATGACTCTTATGAAGGATCCTTTTTTTTAAGAGAAAGTTATTTTTTGATGAATATAGTCACCCTTTAATCTATATACATTTATTTACACAAGGGCTCCTGCCTGTCAAGGGTTTGAACGAGTCCCCTCCCTACACAGTGGGACAGGATGACTGGGTGGAGGGAAAGCGTCTCATCAGCCATTTCTTTCTTTTTTTTTTTTAAGGGGGGCTTGGGGTGGCAGAAGACCATTCCTGAGTAAAATATTTAAGCTACACTAAAATAGACTATGAAAGAGAATCTATTCCAGGCTTACTGAATTTCAGCTTCTTATCTCATCTGCAGTTTCCCTCTTTATTTCTTAGGGAAAAATATCTATGAAGGGTGATAAATGAAAAAGCTTGAGAATTTTTTGTTGTTTCTTCACGGCTTTTTTATTTTTTGTGAGGCATTCAGTTTTGTCTGAATTACCTCAAATCATAGTATAATTTCCCTCTCTGGCTTGTATTCTCTCTCTTTCTCCTCCCATCCCCATTCGCGCTCTCTCTCTCTCTCTCTCTCTCTCTCTCTCTCTCTCTCTCTCTCTCTCTCACACACACACACACACACACACACACACACACGGAGAATCAGAAAATGATAAAAAGAGGTAAGATTTCTTCAGAATTCTGTTCGTCCATGTTCTCAGGCCTCTTTTGAGAGGCAAGTGGCTTGTAATCATTGATGAATTAGAATGAAAATAACAGAGTAGACATTGACGGCAGAGAGGGAGCATTGATGTTATTTGCAGAGTAGACATTGAGGGCAGAGAGGGAGCATTGATGTTATTTGTACAATTCCTGGTACACGGTGACAAGCGGGCCTCTCCCTCACTTCTCCCCACAACACAGGCCTAGAGAACATGGCCACTGCGCATTTCTTCTGTGTTGACATTGTCTTTCCTTGTTTTGTTGAGGGCTGGCAACGGGCTGTCCTTCTAGCCAGGGAGGAGATACACAGTGCAGTTCTGCTGTGGAGATGGGAAGTGGGTGCACCCCAACAGAGCAATCTGGTCGGTAAGAAAAGGAAGCCAGAGTCTGGAGCTCTCCCTCATTGTCCATTCGTCCTCCGACATTTACTGAAAGGACTGGGGGGCGATGTGAGGAGGGGGAAGAAGGACAAACTCATGTTATTGATGGCCTCCTGGTGACATGGTTTCCCTAGACTTGAAAGAATCTGTACATAGAAATCGTTAGGCCAGATGGAGAAGAGAAGAGCTTGAGAAGGAACAGATTTTGGTAGGATGGAGAAAAACATACAAACAGATGGAACCTAAGAAAGGTCTTCTTTTCTTTCCTCATTTTTATGGGAAAGATAATAGCCTGGCTGTGGGGCTTCAGAGCTAGGGGCTGGAGTGCTGGGCTGCAGAGTGGCTCGTGTTGTGTTACTGTAGAGTACCATAAGACAGGACACAGAGGGTTAAATGTTTGCCTCTTCCCTCGCAAGGATGCAATAAAGATTTGGGGGGGTCGGGTGTGTGTGTGTGTGTGTGTGTGTGTGTGTGTGTGTGTGTGTGTGTGTGATTTATGGCTTCCAAAGAAGCATAAATTAAGACTTTAATTCTATTTGGAGGATTCGCTTGATAAGAAAAGCAGCTTAAGTTTGCTTTTGTGATTTGATGTCATTGGGACACATGGCTGGCCAGTGAGCATGCTGGGCTTCATGAGGGGACTCAGTGACCCTGAAATTATGTGGTCGGGAAGTGTAAAGAGTCTCATTTTAAAAACCAGTAAAGGCCACGGATGAGAGAAAGCTGTTCACAGCCCTGGGGCGGCAAGGGAGACTGGTTTTAAAATCAAATTTTCTTCCATTGCTATTTCAGCAGGGCCCCCCTGCCTTCTGGCATCTTACCTGTTTTAAAAGCTAAAATCAGGTGTGGAAGCAGGTTGAGAGCAATTAAAGGTCTGAAATATTTGGACAAAAAGAAATTGAAGAGGCAAATGCAGTGGCGTGGAGAGAGCAGGCTGATTCCACACAGTCTGGGGATATTTCAGATATTGAACTGTTTTGCTACAAAACACTGCATGAAAAGAAAAGTATGCCTGTGCTCTAATCCTCCTTTAACAAATGGAGTAGAACCTTCTTGCTTCTCCCTTGATTTTTATGGTTGCCCTGTTCTACACGTTGGGTCATCCTTTTCTTTGCCGTTTGGAAATCCTCGTAATTAGTACTGAATGATTTTCCACTAGCATCAAATTTATAGAGTGGCTCTGGAGTAGCTAGACCATTTAGAACCATTTTACCCTTTTTGGTTTTGGTTTTCTATCAGTGTGTTTTTAGGATCTGTTGGCCTGTGGGCAGGTGGTAGGGTTATTTGGTCTTAAACACTCTTGTTCAGGAGGCATATAGTCTGTATATGAAACTTGGAAAAACTGTTCTGGCAAATTTGACGACTCGCATTTCTTCAAGACAGGCAGTTTGCTTTTCACTTCTTGTTTGAATTTTCCATTATGAATACATAGAAACTTTTATGATATTTTCTGGGCATGTATCCAATGACCTGTTAATAACTGTTATTATTTACAGTGAAGCTAAGAAGCAGGGAGATTAACTGACTTGCCTGAGATCAAAACCAAGAATAACCTGCTTCTCTTCTGTTGAACCGTGCTTGTGGCAAATTACTTTCTTGAGTACATGATGAGTTTATCTATGAGCATTTTTAGTTGGTTTCTTTTAGATAAAAAAGCACATCAGTGGCAGACTGGGGATTATGGATTACTCTACTTAAAGAGTAGAGATTTGCAATTTATAAATCACAAATCTTTTTAAATAATTAAAAAGAAATCATCCCCCCATTTTAAGTGATGCTCTTGCCTGGAGCCTTCTGTGACAGCCTGTAGTGGTGGTGTGTGAACACTAGATGGCACACGTTCAATGTTACAACTCAAAACACCAGCGCAGAAGCAATAGTGGCAAAGAAAGCCTATGGTGATAGGCACCATTCTTTCCTCAGCGTGGTCCAGAACACTTGAAAGACAAAGCTTTCGTTTTTTCTTTTTTTCTTGTTGAAGAGGACTATGGAAAAAGGCTTCCCAAAGCTAGTCATATCGAACGTAATGTGACTTGAAGAAATTCCCCATAGGGCCTACTCCAGTAACACTTGGGTGCTACTGTAAAATGACCTGATTTATAATACTAGTAACATTTTCTTCCGGCTTAATCGCATGCTTTGAGCTCTGGCCAAAAAGATAAGGAGCCCAGGTCGGGCCCATGGAAGCCCCACCCAGGCCACAGCAGGTTGGCTTCTGAGATTCAAATTTTCAAAACCTGTCACAAAAAATATTCGTGGAATACATTAGGTTGCTTTCATCATTTAAGATGAAGATATTTTAATTTTTTTTATTAACCCTCTTTCATTCTAAATAATGTAAATTGCTAAATTCATAGTGCACTGAAATGTGATACTATTTAGTTCAGCATGGTGGTGGTCGTCACTACTTTCCTCAGTTACAATGCTGAATCATTATGACTCATTAGCAAATAGGCTGGAATGGAGGCGGCAGGCCCAGCGCCGACCTCGACCTCGTGGCACTTCTAGACCCTGTGAGGAGGTCAGACGCGTGCACAGTGCGTGTAGTCACTGCAGCGTGCGGGCAGAAAGTATTTTTACATTTTCCAGGATACTTACTCTTTTCTGCATCATATGGCCTTTTGTAGAAAATGTGGTATATGCAGGTATATAAAGATAAAATGAAGCTTGCCCACAATCCCCTTGCCCCAGGAGAACCACAGTTGGCATTTGTATGCAGGGCTTTTTCCACTTTTTTCTAACCCAAAGGAGTATGCCTGTTTTCAGTAGTTCTGGACAACTCATTTGCCTGATAATAGCAAGTTGAATGGAAGAAGTACTTCTGATAGTTACTTTCTCCCTGTCTTTTCCTTTACAGCCTGAAGCAGCTTGCCACCCTGCCATATTCAGAATGGTTGATGAAATGTTCAGGTAAATTTGTGCTATTTCTGCAAATAATCAATTATATAATGCTCCATTTCCAAATGTGAATTAAACTGCTGTGCTTTATCATGGGGAAATTAGTTTGATTCCATCTTACCCGTCTGAGCTTTTTGGTAAAACCTATGTGTCAGTGTATATGTAAAAGCCAATGCCTAAGAATTATGATAACCTTTTTTTAATCTTTTAAGATTCAAATAATGCTAGAAGAGTAGAATTGAATTAGATTTTAAATCATTAAATATTTGCATAGGATTTTTCTCAGCTCAAAATAAAGGGTCGCAGTGTACTTCCTTCACCACATGAGGGCTGACCAATCTTTTCAAAGGATTTTAAAGCTCAGGAAAACCAAGAAAAATAAATACATAATGCCATCTTAACAGAGCTTTTCTGAAAGGCAAAATCAACTATGCAAGTTATCTTACAACACTTTAATTTTTATTTTTCAAATAAGAGTACTTCTTGCGACTTGCGTTGCATTTACAGATGATGAGAGATGAGATCACTAAACACCAGGTTGGGGTATAGCTGACAGTTAGCGGGAGACTGGACCCCTGTCGGGAAGCTTGTCACTTGGGGAGACCTTCCAGCCTTTTTCAGGGGTTTGGTGCAGTCAGGATGTCTGTCCTTCCCATTCTGTACCCGTCCACCCAGCTGTCGCAGTAGGGGCCCCAGGACAGACAGCAGACACTGGGGAAAGGAATTTTTACAACAGCAAATAACCCAGCATTTGGGTTGGTCTTGAAACATACCAACTTTAAGCTAAATAAGCATAGAAATAAGAAGTCAGACTGCTGTTTTTAGTTTAAAGCTAGCAGAGTTTGACCTGATGTTTTGTTTGTTGGTTGGTTTAAACATAAAGAAAATTTAGTTGGATGAAAATGCACGGAAAGCAAACCAGCTACATGCAGATTCTTCCACCACTTTGGTGGGTGGATCTGACTAAGCCATTTACCCCCATGGGGAGTTCTTTCTCCACTTGAAAAAGCAAAAGGTCTATTGATACTGCATGTCTGGGCATACGGTGTGCAAATATTTGTAAAAAGCATCTGGGCCTATGTGGAAAGGATATGCAGTGCTTAATAATTTAAAAACCAAGAAAGGGAGTGCTGCACATTGCAGTTTTAAAGTATTTAGAAAAGGAATGACAAATTTCTCCTGTTTTCTCACACAAGGACTGAAATCTCAGCAGTAGAGATACTGCTGAAGCTTATGACACAAAAAGAATGTTTCCATGCTTCGCTTTTACAGTTCAGGCTCGTGTGTTTGCCCGATTAATCATTAAATGCCTGTGATCTGACATTGCATTGCTCAGGTCTGCACTCCTGGAAACCGATGGAGCCCCAGAAGTATTAGCCACTATTCAAGTGTTTACATGGTGCTTCGCAGACGCCCTGGAGAAACAAAACACACAGGTTCGTTATATTGCATATATTATTCATTCCCCCAAAGAGAAAAGGCTGATAAGAGCATTTGGCTAATCACCAGAAAGGAGCACTTTATTTTCATCGACTTTGATAGACTGTTTTGTTCATGAAGAAATTTCCAAATGAATGCCCTAGCGAAGGTAAAACCATTTTTATTGAAAGTAAATCAAGGTAGTTCCTGTCTGGCCTATGCCCTAGGACCCCAAAGCGTTTACCTGCTATTGTGTCAGAGAACTCAGTCATCCCAGCCTTGGAGAATGAATTTTCCAGACCGTGTGTGTGTGTGTGTGTGTGTGTGTGTGTGTGTGTGTGTGCGCGCGCGCGTGCTGTCTGCCGAGTGGGACTCTGCCCCTCCCAGCCCAGTGATAGGAATTCTGGAGTCTTTATCGCATGTGCTAAGAAGGAAATGCCACTTATTAGAAAGCAGTACTGAGCATTCTTAATTACTAGAGTTTCCATTCCTATGAGAGACCCAAGAGTGAATTGGCGCTCTCACAGGAGAGAAAGGAGGCAGAACGATAAGGAAAGATTTGAGTAACTAGAGGAGGAGCTAAGCATTGCAGTGCCCAAGAGGTGGGAGCTGGACATAATCAATAAGGAAGAAGGCAGGCCCAGTGGCCTGCAGAAGGCTTGTACTACAGCCCCATCTGCAGAGGCCAGGCAGCCCTGGGCAAGGACTGCTCGTCAGAGGGAAACAGGAGCCTTTTCTACCCAAGAGCTTCTACCTTCGGGCATTTTAACTGGCCTGTCGGCTGGCTCTAGGCTTTGCCTGTTCAAGGGCCTGGGTCCACCTGCAGCTTCCCATGAGGTATGTCCTGGTCCCTTGTGATGCTTTCAGCAGCCCGATGCAGGAGAGTGGTGCTGTGATACTTGGCTCTGCTAAAACCCCATACCGCCTTCCATCAAAGAGCCGTTGAGGTTTATCATTGCTTTTTAAGGCAATGATAAATATTTATGATGCATTTTTTTCCCCGTCTTCTCTTTCCCTAGGGAAGTTAGCTAGACTGTAGCAAACAGCGTTATCAACAGTACCCAGCCTGGAATTTGGGGGGGACTGGCTGGCCCTCACACTTATTTTGAGGCGTAACTATAAATATCTTTTATCCTCCCTTGGACATTCTTTGTATTCCCAATCAGGAACCGACCTCTGGAAAACCTCCCCCTTTGGCTCCTGGAACACACCTAGGCTGGTGTGGAGGACACTAGGGAAAGTTTTCTTACCAGCTTTGCCCCTGAGTATTGACCTTGGGCACTGCGGATTTGCAGTTGTTTTTGACTAATTTATTTTTCAATCTTTATTTTTTATTGAGATATAATTGATGTATTCTATTAGTTTTAGGTATACAACATCATGACCATATATATATATATGAAGATGATCCCCACAATGAGTCTAGTTAACATGTCATCATACATAGTTACAAAATATTTTTCTTGTGATGGGAACTTTTAAGTTCTACCATCTTAGCAATTTTCTTTTTTTTTTTTTCTTTTTAGCTGAGCCATCCCGCCACCTGTTGGCAGCTCACGGCTGCTCAGCTCGGGCTGACTCGAACTGCTGTTGCTCAGAGCTCAAACTCTTGAGCGAGCTCTTAACCAACTGAGCCACTCAGCCGGCCCAGCAATTTTCAATTATACAATACAGTATTATTAATTGTAGTCACCACACTGTATGTTACATCCCCATGACTTACTTATTTTATAGCTGCAAGTTTGTACCTTTCGATTCCCTTCACCCATTTCGCCAATCCCTTATCCGCCTCTAGCAACCACCAATCTGTCTCTGTATCTATGACCTTGGTTTCTTTCCTTCTTTTTTTTTAGGTTTCACATATGTAAGTGAGATCATATGGTATTGGTCTTTCTCTGTCTGACTTATTTCACTTAGCATAATGCCCTTGAGGTTCATCCATGTTGTTGCAAATGGGCAAGATTTCATGTTTTATGGCTGAATAATATTCCATTGCTCGTATATAATGGAATATTATATACATCACGTTTGACTTCAGCAAGTACAAGAGGTGCTCAAAGTGGTTACCATCAGCATCCAGACACTTCTGATTATGGCGAACTACTACTGCTTGAGCATAGATAACATCGCTTGAAATGTGTATACATTTTCTTGGCACCCCCTGGGCTCTCTACTCTGTTATGTTAATCTACGAGTCTGTTTTTATACCAGTTCCATATTGTTTTGATTACTATTGCTTTGTAATAAAGTTTGGAATCAGGGAGTGTGATGACTCGAGCTTTGTTCTTCTTTCTCAAGACTGCTTTGGCTATTCAGGGTCTTTTGTGGTTCCATACAAATTTTAAGACTGTTATTTCTATTTCTGTCACTTTTAATTTAGAACAGTACCCTGACCAAGCTACCTGTGTTTGGTGGTACAGGGGCACACGCAGGTCCTGATGGAAGGCCCCCCCCCGCCCCGCCCCATTGTTTTTTTTTTGTTTTTTTTTTTAGCTGAGCCATCCTGCCACCTGTTGGCAGCTCAGCGGCAGCTCAGCTCGGG